CGATAAACTGTAAAAGTGCGCCAAAGTGCGGTGCACTTTTATAGTTTAATCGGTTCTCTGATCTCGACTTAGTCTACGAATCGCCATAATCATTGCTCGCCATAAAGCTGTGGTACTACACGTACATCTGTGTGCCCATGTTAGATACTTTTTTAAATAAATTTGCAATTTTCATTGCAATTTCTCTCAAATCAGTGCCGAAGTGAGATACGAGCACAATAGTGAGAGCTTGTGTAGATTGGCTTCGACCACTCTCACTTTTAGTTACGCATTTCTAAATTGCCTGAATAAAAATCAACATGTGGAGCCAGCGCCACAGACAGAAGAGTATCTAGTATCTTTTTTCAGTAACATATTAGGTTTAACATTACATTTATGAAATATTATGTGTACTCAGGAATATATGCAGATATATAAATATTTCACTTCTGAGGTAACTTACATGTTTTAAGCGAATTAACTGTAACTGTAACTTAGCATACAATTAAATCACTTTTCCAGTTTATACAATTATAGTTACATGTATCTACAAGTTATGTTATTTATTAAAATTGTTGGTTTTAGTAATATCAATATATTTTTTTTTTTTAATATAATTTTTTTTTTATTTTTTATAAAATTGTATGATTTTAGTGATCCTTTTTTGTGCTGTATTGTCCATTTGATTAGGTTCAATTTTTTATTCAGGTTACAGTAAAATGTATAGTAACGTACGATTTTAACTGGAATAAATAAGTATCATGATTGATAAATGATTAAGAAAATAAATGTAAAAAAATAATCTTAAATAAAAAAAAAATATAAGATATGATATAATAAAACATAATTAAATATAATTATTAAAATTAATTAATAATAAATAAGTACAATTTATTAAAATAAAAAAAAAAATTATAAAATATGCTAAAAAGTAAGACGGATTCGAATAGCAAAGAAAGGGCAAACACAAAAATTTATTTTTAATTTTATTTAATAAAAATAAAAATGTTTGTGTTTGTCCTTTCTTTGCTATTCGAATACGTCTAACTTTTAAATAGTTTCTTTCTTCATAAAAAGACACGCCATTATCGGCAAGAAAAAATTAACCATGATAAAAAGTATTTTAATATAATAAAAAGTTTTTAACATAATTTTATATTAATATCTCAACTTTTATTAAATCTCCCAATAAATTTGTTAATTGATTTTTACTCAAAAGTTATTTCAATTCTCATAAGAAGTAATTTCTCTTAATTAAAAATATTATCGAAACACAAACTCACTCGGAGGCTTCAAAAGTTTGCCATGCTTTTCAAACATGCGTACAGCACCGGCTTCTTTCCCCAACCATGAAAGAAGGCCATTGTCTGCCCCATTGGCAAGTCTGGCAAACCCAATGCCGATCCGGGCAGTTATCGCCCCATCTCCCTCCTAACCTCTATCAGCAAGCTTTATGAGATATTCATAGCCGGCAAACTGAAGTCCTTCTTTTCGGAGAACGGCATTCTCCTCTCGTGTCAGAGTGCCTTTAGAAGCCAAATCTTTACACTCTTCACCATCTCCAAAGCGAGGTATGCGTTGGCCTTTACAACAAGCGCCTCACTGTGGTAGTAAGTATTGATATTAAGAAAGCCTTTGACATAGTATGGTTCGAAGATTTGATCCACAAACTCCCTCCAGGAAAGTTCGACTTCCCTCCAACACTCTGCAGTGTTGTCCACCAATTTCACCCCAGGGCTCGGTTCTCTGCTCCCACCTATTCAACCTATTTACAGCAGACATTTCTCTCCCGCCAAGCAGATTTGCTTCGCTAATGACTGCATTGTCTTCATGCGGTCTATTAAGCTTTAGAGAAGTTGCACTTCGATCGAAATATCTGTATTGTTTTCTTTATTAATTTGAAGTCAGATTCATAACTTCTTATTAAATTGTTGACTTAGCATCTATTCTTCCAAGTTCTTTAACTGATTTAAAATGAGTGGATAGTATTTATTTCATTAGAGCATCAGTGACGAAGAAGCGTCCAACACGTCATTCGCGGATTTATTCTCTTTCCCAATTGTTTGTTATCATAAAATGAACAAGGCTTCAACTTGCATTATCTATATTAACATCCATTATATTTATTGTTTTATATACTTACTTGATTCTTATTCCGCTTTAAATATAAACTGAAATTAAATAATTTTCCACATATTCAAGTGAACTTAAATATATATACTTACTCATCCTATTAGATTTAGTACAACTTAAATGGAAGATTTATGTTGGCTTTTAAAATATTCTTCGGAAATTGTTTTAATTTTTGTTTTAACTCAACATAAAAACTTATAGTTTTTGTTTTGTTCAGAAAATGATTCATAAAATTTATGAGCAATATTAAGTGAAATGAAATAAAAGATACTTAATAGAGTGACATAGTAATAAATTAAAAAATAAACATTTTTCTTTGACATTTTTTAACGCAGAGCAAATTTTTTCAGCCTTTTAATTTGTCAACATATAAAAAATAAAAAAAAATTAAAAAAAAAATAAAAAAAAGAATAAATAATGTCCTTAACACCTTTAGAAATGTTAAAGAAATTATGCCGCCAATAACATTTTATGAATTTTTTAGATTAGGCATGACATGCTCAGTTCTTCTGCGAATTAGTCCTACGCACTTTTGTTGAGGAGTGAGGTGGAGTGCGGTAAATGTTACGCATTTAAATTTCAAAGTTTCGTATTTTATTGTTTGCGTGCGAAAATTTCATGTCGTTTTATAAGCAAATGTCTAACTGTTTGCAAATGATTTATTTTACTTATGAAAAAGTCATAAAATTTATTTATGATTTTTAAGTGATTTGTATGAAATTATGTTGTTATTTTCACAAGACAATAAATCAGTTAACACTAAGACTTCTTGTTTTTTCAATAAGTTTCTTTAATAATAGAGGTATCTAATAGAAGTTTCCAAAGACTGTCAATTATGAATTACCTTCGATGGACTACCAACGGCAAGTAATACGCTTATCTATCTATATTTGGAGGTATTTTGCACTCGATTCTTGAAGTAATTGTTTCTTGTTCAAGTACTTGGGAAGATACTCGACTTTGCGGGAGATAAAGTGTCCATCTATACACCCACTTGCTAACGTCCTTTAGTCGTTTTTGTAATTGAGTGAAGGCGATTGTTGTCTGTGACTGTTTAAACATGATTACTATGTCTTTGGCGAATGTCATGTTAGATATTTACTTAGAGATGAGCATATCAGCTGTCTAATGACTATATAAAATTGGTCCAAAAACTGGAATTATTTACGAAAATTGACAGGCTTACCAGCACCACGTTATCGAAACTCAGAATGGTTACTGAGTTTCAGACTAAGACTAATGCTTAGTCTGATGAAGTCATAAACAATAATCCAGTCAAGGCGTAGAGAGAGGTTATAAAGTAATCTCGCAGTTAATAGAGAGTAAATGTGCTTAAATGCACTGACTCAACTAGCCTCAGCATAATAATAATATATATATATAAAACCTTTTGAGTTTATATATTTGGCAGTCCCACATGCTAGGGAGGTTTCTGTAACATTCAAAGAACCTTACTTTTACATTGTAGTACGAATGATTCTATAATCTCCATCTTAATATGTCTCTTCTAATATAATCTTCATCTCTACGTTCAATAATTCCATGTAGTGTTGTGGAGCAAATTTGTTGGTTCTAGCAATTATTGGGTTTACTTTAGAGAGTAACAAGATTTTAAATATTTTGCTCACAACTTTTTAGAAGCTTGTTGGTCTGCAGTAAAACTTAAAAAAAAAGTATTTGCTTATATTACTTAGTTGGCTATTTTAGACGTGTCTCGTCTTTGGTCGGACGGGGAAGGGAGTGAACATATAAAGTAAAATGTGGCTATTAGTCTGCGGGTGATTGCATTTAACTTGGTAAATGCCAGCACGATCCTTGTCATTGTTCTCTCCAAATTGATACATAGCCTCCACACAGCCCCCTCTATATGTGCAGCAAAATCGTTCTCATGGATATATGGGAACATTTCTGGATATATGACAAAGAGTCAACTTCGGATTTTATTATTATTATTGAGTAAGGGATCGTGCACTGCGACCTAAAAGATCTATTGTGCCCCTTTGTCGGGTTAGAGTATTTCTCCAAGTTCGATTTCTTTAATGAAACACAGTATGGATCCTATCTTCCCCAGTCTTGAATCCTTATGATCCATGAAATACCCTCCTAAGTGTTTCTTTCGCTTATGCATCAGTGGCGGGCACTCCCCAAGCACATGGTATACCGTTTCTCTCTCTTCCCTGCAGTATCTACAGTCTGAGTTGGATTGAATTCCTAACTTCGACAGGTGATTATTCAACCTGCAGTGACCGGTCAGTAATCCCGTAATAATTCTTATGTTAGTTTTTGATTGTACTATACAATCTTAAAAGCGTTTAAGGCTGTAAGTCCCTAAAAGCATTTTAGATTGTGAGAGTCTTGGTAGCATTACCCAATAGAGTTCTCTCTCTTTTTTCTCTGCGTTATTCATAATAATGGATACAGCTCCTTTGCCTAGACCAACTTCGGATTTACTTACATTATTTAATTTAAAATAAAAAAAACAAAAATGTGAATTAATTAATAGTAAAGTCTTTTATTGGTTAAAATTAAATTAACTTTAAGTAGTTGCAGTTCATAACTTATAATTAATAAGCGCACACATAAGTATTTGTTTGTATCATACAAAATTTCATTTATAAGATACAGTGCGTATGAGTAACGTTTTTTTCATATTTAACATTTATATTCAATAATTATATTTCTTTATTGGAAGCTTAAGAAATTAGTTTGCTGTAGTAAAAAACGTTATAATATATAATATAAGCTTAAATAAAATTACTTATCTTAATAAATATTTAATTTTTAATGCATACATTTTTATTAATAAAGTATATAAATTATTTATATATAAAGTTTTATAATTCAATATGTTTTAAATTTTTCTAAAAGAATTTATTTTTAGGCAGGTCTTGTAGGCAACACGATTACAAAAAACTAATTTTATACAATATAAAATTACAACTTAAAAGTACGTTTGACTAAATTTACATATAAAACAGTGTTGACAATGCAAATATGCACCCTAAAAATATGCTTAGATATCAACTGCAGTTGTGATATTGTGCAGTCTTTGCTTTAATTTGAATAAATGTGTTTTTAAATAATTTTTTCTGAAAATTAGCGAGTTGCTATTTATATACTAGATTTAACTTAATTTTGTAATATAATTTTTTCTATATTTTATTTTTTTTTTTTAACTACACCGACGTCTCGTATATAACAATTTGCAAAACTTTTGGTTTATTGTTTTGAGCTTCTTTAACTTCCTTCAGAATGGCATTGGTAATGGCTTCCAGAGCTGCTATGTCCGAGTTGTGTTCATTTTTCTTTGAGGAATTCCATTTTGGCATAGAAACCTAAGGTAAAAATAAATGCAATATTTAACTTTAGGAAGAGAAAGAAAATTTTGTTGAACAAATGCCAATATTCAAGTTCTACTTCAATAATTACAAAAACAATATTTTTAAACAGCTTCATCTATTACTCGTTACGTTTTATGTTTGTCTTAAAGAAAAGTTTCTACAAACAAAAAGTTTTATAAGTCTTATGCAGCGTTTATATGCTTTTAAACTGAATATAAAGAAGTTACTTGAATAAATATTGGTTTTAGAACTTTAAAAGAAAGTAAAACACTTTAAGTGCAAATTAGTAGATGTACTAAAAAAATAGCTTAAATAATCCTAAGTAGGATATATACATCAATTAACTATATAAACATTTACATAGGAGTATTATAGTTTATATAAAAAAAGCTTAAATAATCCTAAGTAGGATATATATATCAATTAACTATAAATTCATTTGAATAGGAGTATTATAGTTTATATAAAAAAAGCTTAAATAATCCTAAGTACGTGATATATATCAATTGACTATATATACATTTGAATGGGAGTATTATAGTTTATATAAAAAAGTTTAAATAATTTTAAGGAGGTAATATATATCAATTGATTTCTTCGTAAAATCTTTGGTCGTCTGCGAGTAGGTGACGACCACCGCTTGAACCTCGCTCGATTGGTCATGTTGTGAGAATGGATGAAGATGCTCCAGCGAAAAAGGTGTTTGAAATAGTACCTGCCGGAAAAACACGTAGACATAGATCGTGTCTCCGGTGGAGTGATCAAGTTAAGAGGGTTGTAACTGGACTTGATGTACGAGACTGGAGAAGGCGCGCATGCAGCAGAGGCGCCTGGAGAGACATGGCACTTCACGAAACTCTATAACGGATTATTATGGCCAAATAGGTAAGTAAGTAAGTAACATATGCATTTCAATAGGAATATCGTAGTTTATTAGGTTGTTAACAATTAAAAGTCTTTTTATATCTTAAGAAACCATGAGGATGATAGATATTTGGCAGTATTTGAAACAACTATATCTAAATAGGCATAACATGTTTGATATGGTTGCAAAAATTGGAACCAATTTGGTATTTTAAAAAGTTACTTATTACTGTTGATGTCTATTATTACTCACAAGTCTATTATTATTATATTTAAATAACTAAAATGAAAATTTATTCTATTTTTCTGTATTTTTAAAAAGACTGGAACTCATAGTTCAACCCATAAAAATAAATTAATAAATGCAAAAATAATTCTTTTGGAAATATCATGCTTTGCTTCGCAGTATTTAAGGATGGCAAGGTTATTTGTTTCGCAAGTTCTTGTCTTGTAATATTAAATGGCAACAAGTATTATTTTCATATAAAGTTCATTTCTTCAACTATTTTATGTTCACATGTATATTATAATCAACTGCGTACAACGTACGAAACATAAATTTATTAGAGAAACTACACGGTTGCATTTTTTACTTACTGCATTTTAAAAATAATTTTACACAGATATATATCTCCATTTATATATATCATACTAAATATGAAAAAAAGAAAGTATAACACATACCGTTAAAATTTTTTGTAACGCAGTATAATCCAAACCAGTGCCAGCAGTCTCGCCTAAACGTCGTAAAGTTTCTGCCATGGGACCAGAAAGTTCCTGAAAAATAAAGAGCATTTACTCGTATGTTTTAAAACAAAATATAATGCATCACAAAACTGATACGAGTAGAAAAGAAAAGTTTCGAAATGTATGAATTCATTAAAATTTATAACATAAAAAATTTTAAGCGAAATGTTTGATAAAATGGATAAAATATCATATACGAGTGCTATACTTGTATAGTATAATTTCCACTTACTTGCAATTTAGCCCAACTTGTGGCATATTGACGGCGAACTAATTCTATTATGGTTGATGTTAACGCTAAGCCAATTAAAATGTACAAAGTGCATAGTAGCATGTAATTGGGTTTCTCTATAAGAAAAATACACATTTCAAATAATAAATTGTATAACTTTAAATTGAGTTCGTTTTATATATAAGTAGTGTTAAGTCACAACATACTTGGCACTAAATCACCAAAACCAATCGTTGTCATGGTAATAAAGCAAAAGTAGAAACCATCGAAGAAACTCCAATCATCTTCCCACAGCAGGAGTAAACCAGCTCCGAATGCCAAATAAACACCCAGAAAACACACAGCTAAAATGGCATAGAACCATGTCTTCCCAATGAAGTTTGTGAATTTTGGTTTTTCTGAAGAGAAATTGAAGTAAAAATTTTTAATTTAAAAAATACTGAATAAATACATCTTTATAGAGAAATTATGAGACTAAAATGTACGAATAGGTCAAACATACAATAGATGAGATAAACTCATATGTCATGATCAATAAGAAAAATATTATTTTTATTATTTTATGAGAAATATCGCAATCCTTAATGCATTTTGAAGTACTTTAAGGTCATTGAGGTTGCTTCACCGCAACAATTGAGTTGATTGTCACTCTATTTGAGCAAGCAGATAATATATGATATTGGAGAAATGAAGCGAGAATACATTACCTTACTAAGTTCTTGAATGCATTTTGTTGCACTTTAAGTTTAAGTTAAGGAAGAGAATTAAACCTTAAGGTTTTAAGTAGCAAGTTAATATCAAAGTTAATCATGTAGAACATTTTTTAAATTTAAAGTACTTATAGTTCTAGTATATGCTATTAGTACTGAATAGTTATTTAAGGATTACTTAACATATTTTGCAATTATTTTCATTATTATATATAAATTCTTTTACCTCCTAAGAGGCCGCATTTATTATTACTGATTCCTTATATTAATAATTGGATTTTAATACAAGTAATGTTTAATATTTTTTTCTGATCACTACTGAATTATACTTACTTGGCATATATTTGCCAAAAACTGAAACCGCTGTAGCGAATAGACGACCCCAATCTGCGATAACAGTAAGCGTAAATGGAATTCCAATTAAAGCGAATCCTATGCAAAACACACGTCCACCAGTTGTTACTGGTACTATGTTACCATAACCTAAAAAGATTTTTTTGGTGAATACATTAATATAACGCAATTATATTAAGGATCAAGAATATATATAAAAAAAAATATCTGCAAAAAATAGGAGATCATACAAGTCATGAAAAGTATACAGTATGCTCCCGTTAATGGCACCGATGGTAGTGTTGAATATATTTATCTTTATTGTAATCATTATAATATGGATAAATAACTTCGGGTATCTTTGTTGAGCGTTAATTAATGTTTTCATTATATGTAATTTGTTTTTTCACATTATTGGTAAAAATAAATTAGTTATTTCGGTAATTTGCATAACTTTTGATAAAATGTCTGACTTATCGAGAGCATATTGTACAAAATAGAGTTAAATTAAAAAATTATTATTATCATGAATTGTTTATATATTATTTAACAATAAAAAATTTTGTATAAATAGAAACACTTACCTATTGTTGTTAAAACAGTCGATGAAAAGAACACAGCTTGTAAAATGCTCCAGCGCTCATATGGCTCTGGAAAGTCTCTATCAGCCTCAATTAAAAGACCACCAGTCGCAGCTTCTTGTACTGCCTGAAAACAATTTGATATGAGTACTAACAAACTTGGAGTATATCAATGGTGAATATATATAAAAGTTGAAAAAAAGTAAGCTCCTCTTTCTCTATTAAAGCAATCTAATAGTAGAAGTGATCATTATTAATAGTTCAATTTAAGAACTGATTTTAAGAACCACTTTTTAAATGGAATGCTCTTCCAACAAACTGTTTCTTTGAATTATTTGATTTACTGGTATATAAGTATTTAAAGTAATTAATGAATTAATTAACATTTGTTAATTTATTACTATTGCTGAATTGTACTTAATAAATATTAAGTAACACGTGTGTGGGTTTACTGAATCAGTGTTTAGCTCCCATACACATAATTTCTTTTACAATATTATCTATGCTAACTCATGGGGTTTTGTACGCTTTAGCCTTCTCAGTACATTGGAAATATCTAGTAGTTGAATAGCTTTTAAAGCAGCTATTTTTTGTATGGTTTCTTTGACTGTTATTAATTCTGAGTGATAATTTATAATACTATTTTGAAATAGTATTAATAATTTAATAGATTGAAATAATTAAATAATTTTAAATGAATTTTTCTTACTATTTATTGTGCGTTGCTTTCAGAACTGGATTTTCCTCTTGACTATCTACAGCTTTTATATCTCAAAATATTCCAATTCCATTTTAATTCAATTAGCATCTGTTTTATTTTTTATCAATAAAAACTAATTTTTATTTCTATGCCTTAACTCACTGTGACCTTTGTTTCTTTCCTTTGACTTCCTTTAATGCAATAAAAATTTTCGTAATTATTTTAACGTTTATTTTTTCGTAATTAATTTTCTCGGTTATATTCGCTTAATTACTAACGCAATTTGTATCTACTAGGAATTTCGCATAGCAATTTAATACGGCAATTTACTGAACAAGTTGAGTTAATTGAGCAGAAATAAAAAGCGAAACGGGTACTCCACAGTAAAAGTATAAAGTTTGATTAATGAAGAGTTCGACGATAAAACAAATAAATAAATCGTTCAATTGAAATTTAACATTTACAAGCGATTAGTGATTTTTATGGCCCCATAAGAATTATAAATTATTTAAAATCATTAAGTATTCTTCATTATGATCCACAATAAAGTAATGATCTAAAAATAAAAACCCAATAAAAATTTAAATGGTAAATTATTTTGCTGCTACGAGTATATACACAAGTGTTCTGCGTAAATTATAAAAAGATAGTTCTTATCAGTAGTCGCTGTGGATTTATTATGTTTACTCTGAAACGTATTTAAGCTGTACTTTAATTTTTAGAATTTGAATATTAAATTTTAGAACTTTTATGTTGCATACAAGTGCGTTGGTGGTGTAATGGTTAGCATAGTTGCCTTCCAAGCAGTTGATCCGGGTTCGATTCCCGGCCAACGCAGCAATTTTTTTATGACACTTTCTATTATTTTTTATTAAAATTTTTAATTTTGAATGACATTAGAAGTGTCTTCTACGATTCTATTGATAAAATTTTTATTTTATATTTTATTGACTTTTATTTAATTAAAATAAGTCAGTATCAAAATTATATATAATAACTATTTCTTTGACGTTGATATAGTCTTGGGTTACATCTATTGTCATCGTTTAAATGCTATTATTATATTAAGGCTAGTTGAGTCAATGCACTTGAGCACTTTTACTCTCTATTAACTGCGGGGTGTCTTCATAACCCATCTCTACGCCTTGACTGGATTATTGTTTATCACTTCATCAG